ACCAAGGAGCTGGACCAGTGGGTAGAACAGCTCAACGAGTGCAAGCAGCTGTCTGAGGGGCAGGTGAAGAGCCTGTGCGAGAAGGTGAGCGCGGGGCCTTCGGGCCGGGCCGGGCCGTGCCGGGCCAGAGTGGGGCGGGGCGGGGCAGGCGGCGGCCTAGGCCTCGGTCTCCTCCTCCTCGCGGCTCCTAAAATGGCGCCGGGAGCTGCCGAGGGGAGCGCGGGGCCGCCCCCTGCCTGCACCGCACCAAGGCGCCCCCCGCACCGGGGTCGCGGCGCGTCCCTCCCGCCGCCTCGTCTCCCTCGCCGCGCGAGTCGGCGGTCTCGCCGGGTCGTAGCCGGCTTCCCCGCCCCAGTGGGGGGGTGGTCGGCGAGGTCTCTTCCAGCCCCTGACAGACCCCCCGGGGTGGTCGGGGCGCTCCGGCGCTCGCCCTGGTTGCCGAAATCGCGTGTGACGCGGGAGGCCCGTGGGCTTCCTCCTGACCGGTTCTGTGCGTTGGGAGAGATGTTCACGCCGAACCTCCTTCTGGTGGGCAAGCGCCAGGATGGATGGGGGTGAACAGCTTTGGTAAATTTTTGCGATGTTTTTAAAGCTGTTGTTTTGTTTTCTGCGAATTTCCCTGTCTCTAAAGCATTTAATGCCCAAAAGGAAAGCATCGGGTCGCGGCCGTATTGGTCTAGAGGCGAAAGGGCATTGGGACTCGTGGTAGAGGTGATTTGTCTTGTATCAGATCAATGCAAGCACCTACTCGGGACTCCTTTAAGAATCATTTGATCTTGCTGAGGTCCTGTGACCCCGGCTGACTTGCTGCCCCTGGGGCAGGGGGCTGGACTCGATGATAACACCTGTAAAATTTATGAACTAGATTTTTGCACAAAAAAAAGGAAAGCGACAGGTATAGGTCGGAGCAAATTTATTTTGACTTTTCTTCACGTGGTCTGTTCGTGGCGTGGGGTGCCTGGTGATGCTGTTGGGTCGCGTGCCTGCACGAGTGAAAAGAGCGGTCTCTTCTGAGGAAGTGTGTGGCTTGATGATTAGACTTGGAGCAAGAGATGGTGTGTTTCTGTTCCTAGGGGGCAACAGTTTATTGTGCAGGTCAAGCACGCTCCTCCTGTCATGTCGACCTTGTGTCCTAAATGGAGGTCTCATGTTGAATCAGGTTACTTCAGGACTTGTAGCTGAAAAGCAGTGACAGCGAAAGAGAGGGGCGTTGTATGTTCATATGATTTTAGCATGGAGAAAACTACCTTTTGTGGCATGTGCTTGGGAGAGCTGATGATTACAGAATTGGGAGACGTCACTGATGTGCCCCCTTACGGTTGTCACTAACACTGAAGTGACAGGTTTGGCATTGTGCCTGTGACTACTGTAGTGTGCTGATTGAACCAATCTCTTTTTGTAGAGTGCCCTTGATAGTCTCTATGAAGTTACACAAATGTGCCTTCATAAACAAATGCTTATGACTGTAGCATGGTCAGACTTTACCATCATAAAATATTCCAGTACTTTACTTCTATTCAAATTATGGTATGTGGTGAGTCTCTAAATTGTCATGTTGTAAGTAGGAAAACTGCTGCTTGGTATAGTATTTTAAGGAAGAGTTTGGTATATCCCAAACAAGTGTTTCATACCAAAAAGGATTTAATAATTTTTTTTCGTGAAGCACTTGATTGTGATATACCAACCTCTTCCTTAAATAGTTCTTACTCACCCCTTGGAAAAGTATTTTAAGTGTTGCTAGTACAGATTCCTAAATACTTGTTCAAGTAAAATGCAGACAAACCCCCACTTAGGGGTCTTAATTGGTTCCTGAAAAACCAGGCATTAAAAGGAATAGTGTTAAGTGAGACCAGGTTTTTTTGACGAACCAAGATGGTGACACAAGCCAACTGGCGCTAACTGGCACAGCGAGGCTGTGCGCTGCTGATGTGCTGTGGCGCTAGTGTACGCTTCCTGCTGCCAGCTATGTGATGCCCATGAGCGTTATAACAAAACTCTCAGAGTGGAGAGTTGGGTATCAATGTAAAATGAGCATTACAGCAAAACAGCATTAAGCAGGAGTTGCCTGTATCTTTATAGCATGCTTGGGAATACATGCTACAGGGATCTTTACATTTTTAAATAACACAGTCACGACTTAGCACGGTTGGTGGATGGGTATGCAACATGAATGCAATTGGTGAATACTTAAGAAAGGAAACTCAGTTATTATCGGTGTTCTCTCTCTGTATCAACCAACTTGATTTTTTGCAGGTTGAAGTCTCTTGGATTCATGGTTGTTTAGATACCTAAATACCTTTTCTGATCTGCCCTTAATTCTTACATATTCATTGCTGTAATACCACTGTCTGTCAGTGGGAAAGAAAGCTGACTTGAACTGAACTATTTTTGATGACATTGTGTGCCAAGATGAGAACTGTCCTGAGCAGTAAGAACATAAAATATTTTTTTTGTCTGCTGTAGAATCAACAGGCTGTCTGGATATAGAAGGAAATATATGTTGAAAATTAACCTTCAGTTGCAAAGGGAGTGGTGTTCATTGGGCAGGAGAGGCTAGAAGGAAAGTTTATTGTAAAAAAACCCAAAAAACATTTCATCTTCTAGGATAATTTACCTTAGAAGTGAGCTTGTATAGGGTAAATAAAGGGACCATGATATTTAGAGAAGGCAGTAGAAGCAAGAGTCTTGAAGAGCTGGTACACACTGAGTATGGAGAAATGAACAGGTTACAGCAAATTAAGTGGGCAGGGATTTACAGTAACATCAGCTGTTAGGAGACTGCTGATGTTACTGGTTCTTATCCCTCGGTAAGAGGAAACTAGACCACAGCAACTTAGCTCTGTTTCATGGGTGAGTAAACAATCGTGGTTTGACAGAAACCTCAGAGGAAGAGTAGGCAAAAACAATTTAAACCAAGCTGCTGACCCATGTTAAGCATGTGTCAAGTTTTGACTTATTGTTATTTGTTCATTTCATAGTTGGTAGGGTCGGAAGGGACCTGAGCAGATCATCAAGTCTGACCCCCTGCCGTGGGCAGGAAAGGATGCTGGGATCAAATGACCCCGGCAGGGTGATTTTCTAGCCTCCTTTTGAAGACCCCCAGGGTAGGAGCGAGCACCACTTCCCTTGGCTGCCCTGACTGTGAAGTAGTGCTTCATGATGTCTAGCTTGAACCTACTCTCAGTCAACTTATGGCCGTTATTCCTAGTTACTCCTGGTAGTGCTTGGGGGAACAGGGACTCTTCTGTTCCCCGCTGGTCCCCCTTGATAAGTTTATAGACGGCCACCAGATCCCCTCTCAGCCTTCTCTTGTGGAGACTGAACAGGTTCAGGTCCCGTAGCCTCTCCCCATAGGGCCTTCCCTGCTGCCCCCTGACCATGTGAGTGGCCCTCCTCTGGACCCTCAATGCTTGCCACTCTCTCCTGAAGTGCGGCGCCCAGAACTGGACACGGTACTCCAACTGCAGCCTGACTAAGGTCGCATGTGGGGGGAGGATCACCTCCTTGGACCTACTTGTGATGCATCTGTGGATGCATGACAAGGTACGGTTAGCCTTACTGACCGTGTCCTCACATTGGCGGCTCATGTTCATCTTGGCATTAATAATGACACCAAGATCCTTTTCTGCCTCTGTGCTAACTAGAAGGGAGTTCCCCAGCCTGTAGGTATGCTGCTGGTTCTTCCTCCACAGGTGTAGCACCTTGCACTTGTCAGTATTGAATCCCGTCCTGTTCTCATCCGCCCACCCCTATAACCTGTCCAAATCTAGTTGTAGCCTGTCCCTCCCTTCTAACGTGCTCATTTCTCCCCACATCTTAGTGTCATCTGTGAATTTGAACAAGGTGATTTTCACCCCCTCATCCAAGTCACTGATGAAGATGTCGAAAATGACCCGTCCACCACCACTTTCTGGGTGTGGCCCTCCAGCCAATTTGCAACCCATCTGACTGTGTAGGCAAAGACATCACAGTTGCCTAATTTTTTAATGAGAATGGGGTAAGAGACAGTGTCAGAGGCCTTCCTAGAGTCCAGAAAGACTACGTCCACCACAACACCTGTGTCTAAGGATTTTGTGACCTGGTTGTAAAAGACAACCATGTTGGTCTGACAGGACACGCCCCTAATGAACCCATGCTGCTTGCCCCTAAGCATAATCTCCCCTGCTGGTACCTTGCAGATGTGCTCCTGGATACTTTTCTCAAAGAGCTTCCCCAGGACCGAGGTAAAACTAACAGGTGTACAGTTTCATGGGTCTTCATTCCTCCCCTTTTTGAAAATGGGGACCACATTGGCCCTTTTCCCTGTCCTCTGGCACCTGGTCAGAGCACCATGAGTGCTTGTAAAGCCATGCCAGGGGTCCTGCAATGACCTCCGCTAATTCCCTCTTCACTGTGGGGTGGAGATCATCTGGACCTGCTGATCTGAACACATCCAGCCCCTCCAGAAGTTCCCTAACTATGCCCTCCCTGACACTAGGCCTGGGTGTGCCTCTCCTGAGTCCATCTGGGATCCTGGTGGTGGGGCGATGTCCTGGTCCCTGCTTAGAAAAAAGGAGGCAAAGAATTTGTTAAAAAGGTCAGCTTTACCGTTTGGTGTAACCACCAGATTGCCAAGCATGTCCTGCAGGGGACCCACATTACCCAGTGCCTTCTTTTTACTCCCTATGTATTTAAAA